CTATGCAACATGAAATTGAAACCGAATATCGTGTTTCATTTACGTACCCCCCCCCCCCCCAATGTTTCATTTTTAAGGGGGGGGCCATTTTACAGCCATTAAACACCGCATAACACAGTGCACATAAACATCAGAAAACCGTTATACTCCGCGCCACTGGCGATTCTAGGAGTAGGTCGAATAGAGAGCTTATAAATACACGGCAAGAGCTAGTGCACCCGTTCCAGTTGCACAGGCTTTGAGCTTTGATCGAGGCGAGGCGCTCCAGCTTCCTCCGGGATGCCATTCTGCAACGTGGCACTGCCCTCTTGCACCTGAGGGAAAGGGCTCCCAGGAAGCCGGCCAGCTCGGCTCTGCTGCCATGCCTGTGGTGCAGCTGCTGCATCCCGTACGACCTGCTCACATCCAAACTTAGGGAACTTAGGGGTCCTTCCGAAGGACCTTCGGCGGAGGGTTGCGGAGTGTTTGGGAGCGCCTCTCCGGCCCGAGCGCATCGCTCCAGCAGTGAGGTCTTCCGCTCCGACACTTCCTGGAAAGGAAAGGCGTCTTTCAAACAACTTTCTGCCTTCTGCCAAGGAAGCTGCTACGCGGAATCCCGTCCTTAGCCGAGATCCGACGTAGCCGCTGCAGCTGGAGATCCTGAACGGGTCAAGTTTGCATGGCACGACTCAGACTCAGACAGGAACATTAGCATTAGCTCTTCAGCCGAACTGTCCGCTTTCTGGGCCTTGAGGTGCTCGCAAACGCAGTGATTTATCTCTTCCACCGCTTCGATCCGGCTCACCTCCAGACCATCCAGCTACTCCAAACGAGCACAGAAACGACGAAGAGCAAAGCCCAGGTGCACAAGCAACCGCTTTTTTCTCCAGACCTGGGCTCTCCCGCAGCAAGGCTACCTGAGCAGGCTTGAGGAGACAGCCCAAACAGGAATTTGTTGAGCGCCTTCTCTTGGCCAGAGTGCCGAGTTCCAGAATTTCTCAAGCGAAGAGGGGCCCTGCATGGCCCTGCCTTTCTCGTCGCGTCTGCAGGCCTTCCCCTCCCATGTCCATGCATAGCGTTGCTGCACCGTTCGCAAGCAAGGTCGCGTCTGGCATTGGCAACCCAGAGATCAACAAACGAACGGAATGAATGACTTGGTAGAAGCGGCATATTCGGGCCAGTCGCTGCTATAGCGCTTGGACAGATACTGCTCCTTGTCTGGGATATGGTAGAAGTAAAAGGAGGCGGCCATGGTTGCAGGAGCCCACAGATTCCACCAGCATCCGGTGGCCACTGCCCAGCCCAAGAATAGAACGACATCACCAAAGTAATTTATGTTCCGACTGAGGGAAAAAAGTCCAAGAGTGTAGCAACGGCCCTTGTTTTCAGCTCTAGCCTTCCACCACTTTCGTTGAAGCTCTGAGTATGTGTTGAGCCAGGATCCCAAGCAGTACAAAAACACTGCCAGGCAACATGTCATCCAGTCAAGAGTACCTTTCAGAAGTGCACCAACAGCGAATGAAACGAGTATACTCATTATCCAAAGGATCACCACTGTGAGCTCTTCTTTCGCTAGCTCTCGGGGCAACAACCATCGCGCCATTGCGTTTAGGCGCAGCATGTACGCAACTCCAAACGTAAACAATAACGTGCAACGCCAAGCGTTTTTAGTATGACCTGGCCACTGCACCTCTGGCCACAGCAGCATCCATCCGTAACAGCCGAGCACGAACAGGGACTCGAGCGCAAACACATTGGCTCGCATCATAGAAGATCGTAGCGTGCTTCGAAAGTTTTCAGGTCCGTCCGCCATTGCTTGGTACTCCACTCCTGATGTCGCCATGTGCGGCCCTGGCAGGGTGTGACCCCCATGCGAAGACCCTACAGGATCGGAGAAGAAGCTGGCGATGAGAAACAAGCACTGTGCGTTTGAGGAGAAAGCAATTCCGAGCATCCTGTGACATCTGCAGACGTGGGCAGCCTCTACGACCTTGGCATTGTTGCTGCAGATCTCCTGGAGACAGGACAGCATGCATCGCAATAGTTTGCAAACAGCGTGCCATCGAGGCCTCCTCTGCCATGCCCGTCTTTGGGCTCGGGCGACATTCTGCCGGACAAGCAGGCAACAAAATGCAACAAACAACACCATGCAGCACAGAGTTTTTCCGCACGAAGCTTCTGGCGCCTTCTGGCGCAGTGTCCATCTTTAGGAGCTCCCCGCAAGGCCCCGCGGCTTTGGCTGCTGCTTGGACGAAAGCCTCACGGAATGCGCTTCGTTGAGAGTGTGTGCTACCACTGATATCGAGGAATCGGTGCTGCACATTGCCGCACTGCGCAGCATTGCCTCCAGTACTGGCTGAACTGCAGCGGGTGGAAGCCCAGAGGAGAGGCACAAGTTGTGGATGCGATCCTCTCTTGCCCTGAGATGACGGCGGGCGTTTCAAAAGCCTCTCGCGAGCTATACAACCGGCTCGGTGCCTGTGCGACCGCTCCTGGGTTGTCAGCTCGCCACGCCGATTTTGCCAAATGGCCCTCAGCCTCAGAGCAATTCCTCATGTCTGACTTGCACATTCTATTTTTGGAACCCTCGTATCCTACGGCGGCAGCTTGAGAACTGGGATTTGCATGAAGCGGCAAGACTGCAAGAAAAGATAAGAAACCCATATACAGACAGGATGAAAATGAACTCGAACATACAAGGCAAACACATCGCTTTAACTACCGATTGCGATGCATGTGGAGTTCGCTTTTGATCAGAGGTACTTTCTAGCTGGGCCTTGCCATCTCTGAAGTTACCACTCCCCGCAACTTTTTGACTATTATTCTCCTATTCGGAATCTGATCCAGTTTTGTTGCATGTCTATAAACTCTGTAAACCTTTTCTTAAACCAGCGATTTCCCTCCGCAGGAGGGCTCCAAGTCTATCTGAGTCCATCTGATAAAGATCGGACGGGACATTTTGAGCACGCGGCTCAGTGATAAAGCCAGTGAGACACCGCAGCTTGACCAGCAGCACCTGGTTCCCAGCTCGGACAAGCCAAATCCGTAGCTTTGGATACGGACAGACTGCAGCGCATCAGCACGCGCTGTACCAAGCAAGTGAACACGACAATTTCATCACCGATGGCACCTTGTGTTTGGTGTCGATCCTGCGCAGTTCCAGGCGTCGCCAATGCAGCAAATGCTCCTCTCAGCTTCAGCTGCGAACTCCGTGAAGTCCAAAGAGAAAGTGAGCTCACAGGAAAACGAAAGCGAATGATTGAAACCACGCAGTGAGCCAAAGTGTTCTGGGTCGACTGATGAGGAGAAGGAAAAGTTTTCGGAAGCCGGTGTCCTGGTACCAGCGCTCTCGTAGGTCAAGTCTTTCCATCTGGCAAGGATCGGACTTGCCCTCTCACAGCCTTCCACCGTTCGGCTTCCCTCGGATCCCTGGCTCAAGCCTGAGCCCCGTTCTCTGCTTGGAACTCTCGCTCCCATCGCTCGAGGGCGAGTGCCTCTGCAGTTTCTCGGAAGCCAAGCTCTCCAATGCGCCGACGGTGACTCTTGGGCATGCAGCCAGGCTTGTGTCATGTGAATTGAAGACCAGCACAAACTGTCACGAATGTGCCATGATGTTTCTTTTTCAAGCTTGAACACAACAATCAACATACCTGCACTGCGCGTAACCTGACTACAAGTCTCGCTGAATTCAAGTGCATTGCAAATTCAGTTCATGTCCTTACATGTACCGCGGTGGTGTGACCAGAGAAGATCGGTCCTGCCTGCAAGTTGGAAATGAGAAAGATCGCAAATATCCACAGGTTGGCCCAGCTGAAGCTGACACCTGCACGCTGAAGCACCACACAGCCACCAGTCAGTTCGGGCTAGGAACAAACTAGAGTGACAGCGTCTTCAGTCAGTGAAGCTGCCAGTCGCTGCTTCAGAAGAGAAGCTGATCGCCCTGTCGTAGCCTTCTCGGAACTTCTGCACGCCAAGGCTTTGGAGCAGAACTGTGAGTGGTCGCCCTCAGAGCTGAGATATGCTGAGACTTATGGAGCCATCTCTGAAGACTCAGCTCACGGCAGCCGGCCCGCCAGGCAGTGCTGTCATGCGCAGCCAACCTGGGTGGCCAGAGGAACGTTTCACTTGCCTATGACCGAGTTGTAGACTTCCTTTGAGCTGCAAGCAGTCTGCAATTGTCCGGAGAAACGAAGAAAGTCTCCGGGCAGGTCTGGCAAAAGGGAACCAGTCATCTTGATCCAACTGGAACGTACCGAAGTCGTTGCTTTGCCTTCTCGCTGCAACCTGCCAGTTCGACCGCCTCGATGCCATCAACGGACGCTGACGAGATCGCGACTGTCAAGAATAGTCCTGCGTCTTAGGTCGCAGCGTAAGCGCAAGGCACCACGGGGGCTTGGAAGCACACTAGCAGGAAGGCCACCACCTAAAATCCACATGCAGGATTCTGCAAGATGTACTGGCCTAGGCAACCCAGGGTCAGGACCACGTTGTACGTGCGGATCCACTTGTTGACTCTCATGCGGGATGTCCAAGAGGATCCGACTATTTGGACCTCGTGCACCCGTGCTGAGATTGCTACTAACCCAACACTTTCTGCCAGACACTTCTAGTGCGAGGATGCCTCTTCCCTCCGTCCTAGAACCCATGCAGCCATCGGACATTCGGGGGGGGGGGGCACAATGTTGTCATGCTGGACTTGGCAGACTAGGCTTGACCATCAGTTGCTGCAAGCCCCAGAAAGACAGCCTTGAAGTCAAAGTGCTTTGGATTTTGGAAGGACCAAGCTCGGCACACTCTCCATAGAGAAGATGTGCCAAACGAGAAGGGTCAGGTAGCCTGGGCGGCGCCACAAAGTCATTTTTCCAAACCCGAAGCACCGCGCAAAACACCTTGTGCGGCTAGCGGCCCAACGAGATGATGCTGACATGGGGCTGCCTTAGCAAATCCCAGATGTGAGTTTAACATCTCTGGCTGCTCTCGACCACTATGACTATCACTATACGATGCGAAACTTTGATCAAGTCGGGGAACTGTTGCCGCATGGGAGATATGTTTTTCCGTTAGGTGGGGACTTCACCGCATCGGCACCTGAGCCTCGGCCACAAGCTGAGAACCCAAATTCCAGCTACCTGTCTCCGGCGAAGCAGGCTGACGATGGAGGCGTGCGGTCTCGGAGGACGTCGAGGCACAGCATCGTCCACGAGGTTCCCAACCGCATGTGCGCATGCAGTGCGTGGACGCCACGTGCGACAGCTGGGGCATGGCGGCAACCCTCGCTTTGGTTCACGCTTGTAAAGCAATGAAATGCAGCAGACGGCGCTTATATGCATACTGGACAATACCAACGACAGCAAAACCTTACAACCTCACCGAGCTGTGCCGAAAGCACTTACAGAAACTTCGATGCATCTGTGCACGCAGATTCCAGGGGTGGCTGTCCCTTATATGCAGCCGTTGGGAAGCGCACTCAAGCTTGAAGCCCTTCTGGGCCCTTTCCGATTTCCGTGTGGAAGAGCTCTGTGGGACTTTCGTATTGCCGTCGAGTGCGAATGCGATGTGTTCAGTGAACTGAGACAAGAGGACCTGGATGCGCGAATTGTGTGTTTAAGGCACGAAAAAACTCCGTTTAGTCCGCATTAACTGACCTTTGAGATTCTGGAGGCCCTTTGGAGGGTCTTGTTTGTGGTTCAAGGTCCCTGGAAGTTTTTGGAGGGTCTTGTTTGGCTGTTCAAGGTCCCGTTTAATATGCAAAACCCAGGTTTTCGAGGATGGTCTTGCTTGCGGTTCAGGGGACCGTTTTGTGTCTTCGGGTTTTTGCCACCCATTTGAGATCCACAACCTGTTTCTAGGGCCTGGGGTACCTCCTTTTCGGGTTGACCCAACAGCATCTGCTTTTACGGCTTAGGGCTTGCCACGGTGCCCGTTCTCCTGTGTCGCTTTTTGTGTTACAGTCACTGTGTCTTTTTTCGCTCGTGAGGGTCCAGGCTTTTTGGGCCTGCATCTTAGGTCTGCTGGGACGAGCTTAGCTCTGCCTTCGTCGTTTCAGCTTCATCTTCGGGACTTTTTATGCCGGCTTCAGCTTGGGGGACGACTTTAGAGTATGCTCTGCCTTCTGCGCTTTAGGGGGCCGTCTTTAGGGTTTGCTCTGCCTTCCTCGCTTTAGAGTGTGATCGTCGGGATTTGCTTTCGGGACGACTTTGGGGCTTCATCTTGGCAGAAGGACTCGTCCCCCCAACTGTCCCCCCCCCGCTCACCCCTTGCCCGCCCCCAAAAAAGCAGGTTTCCGGGACCCCGCGTGCACCTTGCACGCAAACCGCGTGTGCACCTTAGATGCGGCGCCCCTGACGGCTTCGAAGCGAAGCAGTTGCATTGATGGGCTGATTTCCCATGCTGTGCGCAGAGCTGAGGCCATGGCTCTTGTTTGTGGCTTTGCAGAAATTTTGGATGCGTACCCCACGCAGAATGGAATGGACTGTGGGAGTTGGATTTGGAGCCTTCCGCATGCCTGACGCAACCATCCTGCTTGAATCCGCTTTTGGGTCGCTACGCTAAGGCTTGCAGCAGTAAATAGCAATGACCATATCAAAGCCAAGGAACTTTTAGAAAGGATTGAAGGAGCAGCAGCAGCAGCAGCTGCATGAGAAAGGTAGGGAAAGTCGTCGTCGTCGTCGTCGTAGTGGTAGTAGCAGTATCAGTAGCAGCAGCAGGAGCAGTAGCAGGAGTAGGACCCCGAAACAACTCCAAAATCTCAAAAGAATGCTATTGCATATGCTCATGGCACACTTGCTCCCGCAAGCTCGACTTTGCTTGCATTCCATGTATGTTTATGCAACCCTGTGCTAAGGATAGCCTTCAGGATTTTGGATTTGTCTCTGCTCAAATGATCTGTGTCTGCAGTGCGGCAATGTGCAGCACGAGAGGCTGCACTGCTGCCAGGGCCAGCGAGATGTTCAGCATTCCAGACATCCATCTTACAGCTGTTCGCCTGACGACAATGCCATCCGAATGATCCTCTGACATACGGATGATGATCTTTCCATCTTGAGGAGCTGGCGGCGTGATTGTCATGCATCGCTGCTTCGAAGCCGACTCCTTGAAAAATGCAGCAGAGCACCCAGCTTCCTGCCATGGATGACAACACACATACCTCGGGCCTGCGAGATGGAGTCGTCCTGCAAAAAGTCTTGTCTTGAACTTATCGTGCGCAGTAGCCCCACCCTCCCTGAAACCCTCCCCACCTGCTGCCGAAACGATTCAGGGACTGGCTTTTACCGGGCCCGGGCCTCTTCACCCGGAGATTCGCCGACAGCTTCATCCTCGCCCTCGGCATGGTCCTCCTGCATGGCTAGACCCTTCATGCAGAACCAGGGGGGGGAGGTCAACAGAAATATGATGAAATATGTGGAAGCAGGAGAGCTCCTCTGGAGTCGTCCTTAGTGTGCCAAGTAAGACAACGTCTCAAACATGTGCAGGCCTTGCGATGAATCTGCGATGACAGGCAAGGAACGACCTGGCTCTGCCGCGTTCCTCTTTGGCGTGGCCTAGCTGAGTGAGGCAGAGGTGCCGAAGCAGGCACACCTGAGATGCGCATTGCATCTTCCAGCATGGTGTAATGCTTCTTCGAATGCTGCAGGGTGCAGCCATGCACGTCCTGTTTTACAAGATTCTTGCACTCGCCGTAGGTCGTGGACGCAGAACAAAGCCATGAAGGTGAGAGTCACGTCCGTGGAGCCCTGGAAAGCTTTCTCATGCTGCAACCGGCCCTGCCCCATGCCGCGATTGAAGAATCTACTCGAGAAAGCCTTGGAAGGCAAGCCGAGCCAGGCCATCCAGGTCTTTCCACATTGATGTTGTCTCGAGCAGCCTGCGAGCAAAGTCTTCCATCTATCGCCGACGACGTGGTGACTGTAAGGCCAGAACCTTCCTCTGGACATGTCGCAGGAAAGTCCAGCACGGTGTTGTTCGCATAGGCCTTCTTCAATCTATGGACTGGATCCATTGACTGCTATCATCTGCTGCCCCCATGCAGCCTGACAGAACCACCCAGCAACATCATCAGCCGTGGGCTTCTTCCAAATTCCCGGAGGCAACCAAGCCTGAATCAGAGACACGGCGCCAAGTACAAGACGCGTGCAAGTGTCCATGGTGCCTCAAAGGAAAGCGATGTGGCAAGGCTCCTTACGGTATGACACAAACCTCACAGTGGTGCCAGCAGCGGTGTGACAGTGCTGCCAAGCAACAGCGCAAGCCAAAGCACGAAAAACCTGGCAAGTCAAGCAAGGCAGATCACAGCAAATGGTGCGAGTATCAACTCTGTATTGTCACTCGTGACACCAACGATTGTGTTCATCAGTCTTCGAGTTCTGCGCAGAGCCTCAGCCAAGAGTTTGCCGCGCTTGGGGAGAGGCACCGACGGCTGTCCTACAAGCGAGCGAAGACGGCACACAGCTGTCGTCATTCCAGGGAAACCGGCTACGCTATCATACCGCGACTACCTTTCACCGACAAGCACTCTGACTGGAGCGTGTTGTCAGAACGAGCCTTGCTCGATCTGAATAGGAGCACGCTGCCAACGTAGACTACCGACCAAGCCTTGAAACACTGCAATGCCACACCAAATGCGAATTCCTGCAAACTTGCCGCGAAATCAAGGCTGCGGCGCTGTTGCAGAAAAGCGCGGTGAGCAACAGCACCTGAATTTTTGGTGCTCAACCCATTATATGGCGCGTTCTGATGCTGCACCCCTTATTCACCTAAATCCTGGAACATCAGCATCTTCCTTTAAGTGTGTCGAACTGTGAACCACCGTGTCGTAAGACTTAGAGACCTGACGCAGTCAGGCTCTGATCTGTTCGACTGGGTGGCTGACGGCTGCACCGAGTTGAGCACTGTAGGCTACGGTCTCCTTTCAAGGCTGCCCAAAGCAAACGTCCATGACCTAGAAGCGTCGACGATAGTATCCGGGCATACCACATCATCAGACAAAACCATGTTAGCAGCGTAAGAATGCAAGATGAAATCTTTTTACCGTTGCCATGAGAGGCGTTATAGTGGAACGTGTGAGACGCCAGGGGCAGCTGAGACACGGTGGCCACTCGAGCCAGGCCTCTGGTTCCCTGCACTGCTCTATGCCCCAGAAACGAGCAGTTCTCTCGCAGCTTCTCAGAGCTCGTCTTGCTCGAGATAAACCTATCCTACTCTGAGCCCACCGTAGCTGATGCTTCACAAAATGCCGCGATCTTACTCTCCAGGTGTGCGTACTGGATAAATCAAGGGCACCTGGGCGCAGGACAACTGTAGGCATGCGGTGCCATCTGAAAACTACTGCTTCAGCCCTGTGTTGTCGAGCCACCATCTGGTGCATGTAGACGAAGGCCCAGAACAGCCACATGCCTCGCCATGCGCTCTGCGACAGATAGCGACGGCCATCAGCTGCAGCAATCATCAGCATGACCAACACGGTTTATGCAAGAGGTGGGGTGCAAACAAATGACTGAACCTCTGTGCAGACAACCATTCTTGGACCACGATCGCAATTCACAGAGGGTCCAGTTTCCGTTCGGACGAGGTGCAAGTTGTTCCTGTCACAACAACCACCATTGCCAGCTGGGAGCTCTCTTCCTTCGTTATCCGGGGTGTCTCCTCATGGTTTGAACTGGTCAGTGCTGGAACAACATCAAAGACCACTCTGGAACAAAGACGAGACGGTCACGTCCTTGACAAAGCATCGGAAGGCAATCCTCATGGCAATCAGTCCAAAGACCAACCAACCGGCGGAGCCTCGAGGCGGAAATCAAAACTGCGGCAAAACACAGAGTAATAACATTTAATGCTCCAAGGTGCCATAAATCAGGCCCGGAGCCATAAACCCATTGCAAACCATTGCGCGGCACCAAAAGAAAGGCGGCTAGCAGGCTCTTTCCAGTACTCACTTGAGCTACGAGCCAGTTCGAAAATTAACACAAGTTCTGCGCTCCCTCCAGCGGCGTGCCCAGCACGAAATGCATGAAATTCGCTCCTGTCGCAGTCTTTGGCTTCGGCTTCGTGCCTGCCGGGTGCAAGGATGCTGTCACGAAACTTTGCAGTTCCTGAAGCGCCTGACGATCCATTTCTTTTGCAGCAGGTGAATTAGCCACGCAATGCCTTTGTCACGCGTGAATGCACCAGCGAGACGGTTTGGGGGAGAATGCAGCATTTGAGCTGCCCACTTCGCCGCTCGCTTGACTGTTCTCTGAATAATGCCGATCAACAGCAAGGCCATCTCGGCCATGTACCCCCTTGCGTGTGCAGAAGCCACTACAATGTCACAGCAGTCAATTGTGGAATCTGGGTGGGCTGCTGATTGTGCAGACCCCAGTACGACTCCACCTCCTGCATGCAGTCATGTTGCTACACCTAGGCGAAGCAACCGAGCGCATTGTCAGCCTCATCTGGAAATGTGATCAGCTTGAAGGTGTAGACGTATTGGACCAAAAGCAAGACCTATAGAGGACGAAGCAGCAGTTAGGATCATGTCACCGCGGATATAGGGTCCAGACCGAGGATGTCAAGGATATGAAGCCACCCGCATAATCCCAACCTCGACCACCTCAGCTAGCCATAAGTATGCTAAACAGCACGTGCGGTGGCACCCGCAATAGCGTGCCATGAGATGTCTCCTGTGGAGCCATGCCGAGCTCAGCACTCAACAGCAGCAGAACTAGAACGGCGAGCTGCATGTGGGATGTGGCGTTGTGACGCCTGGCTTTAGCAATGCATGTGCAATTTCAGTTTCTCTTGTCCTCTCCTGGTGAATCTTGCAACGAAAAAGCAACAAAAACAATATCATAGGTTTTATTGCAAACCCTCGCGGCTGGTTCCTGAACATTCAACCACTGGAAGACAGCCGGTTCAGCTGACTCGTATCCTTTTGAAAACTCGCCATGGCCCAAAACCCCAGAACACATCAATCCCTTTCAGCAGCAAGTCAACAGGGCGAGATGATGTACAATGGAATTGGTGAGTTGCACCTGAAAAGCAGTACGATTCGTGCAGAGCTCGACCGAGCCCCCAACGGCATGATGAAGTAGCAGGCAAAAATCAGCACGACTGTAGACCACCGAGCGGCCTCTGGGTTTGTTTCGCTCTCCGTTTCTGTTGCAAGCGATCGGCATGAGCTTCAAAATGCTGCGCCACTGCACGCCAAGGTATGACTCCTTTGCTTCTGGCTGTTTGGCATGTTCACTATGCTTCCATGCACGCGACCTCCAGGAGCACCGTCATCAGGACCTGAGCATCGATTGCCGTGACAACTCCGCAGGTGTTCAGAATCCAGTTGCGAACGAGGAACTGTGTTCTTGGGCAAAAACACCTGGCTTCGTGCCCCAATGAGGCTCGCCTGAGTGTCATGGTCAAAGATCTTTTAACCTAATCTAGCATCGTGAGCCACAAGACAGGAACACGCTGGAGACTGGTTCTGGTGCGTGCAATTCCGCAACCGTGGCCCGAGCTTCGGATCCAAAGCGAAAGACACGGCGCCTCATCGGAGGAGAAGACAAAAACAAACACACTTCCAGCGACTTCATCGTAGAACATTTCCGGTAGTGGTGGTATCAGTTGCCGTATCCTTGCTTTCCTAGGTGTTCGTTTTGGAGGCTGTGGGCTCAGCCCGGCTCCGTTGTCCTTGCAATCTCGCAGAAACGAAATCCGCAGGGACACCACCGCGACCCACTCTGTCTTCCCACACCACTCATGGCTTCGTTGGACACAACCCCGCTGGTGTGCCGCATCCCGCGTCCCCGTCAACGAATCGTACTGCTCCAACCCTTGGATACCGGTGTTGTTGCACACACACACAAACACATGCCTTCCTGCAACGAGCATCAGCATGCTGTCATGACGAAACATTGCTCACTGCTTTGATGCACACTAGTAATTAACATGTTCAGCACTCACCCATCCCCCTTGAACGGAGGGGCTCGCGCTGACCGCAAGACAACTCGGGCAATCTCACAGCTTCGGTTTGTCCTTGTCTTGGTTGCTGGTCCTCAGCATGACCCTCGCATGTTCCAGCCGGTGGACCGAGACCGGACGATATTCCAATACGACCCGATAGGCTGCACGCGTCCACAGCGTCGCAATCCAAAAGAACACAATGTAAAAAGAAGGCACTTTTCCACCAAGGAATCCTCGTGAAGTCAAGTGGCCCTGCTTCACTGAGGGCCTTTTTGAGGTCTCTTCATGTGTAAGTCCCTGTAAAATCTTATGTTCGACGTCGTGGAAATCCAACATGCAAATCTGCCGGATCCCAACGCTGGAAGAAGACTTCGTCGCCAAATTCGGCTGAGCCGGTACGGAGTCACTTCGGCAGGGAGCAACCCCCCAATAGCTGGTGCTCAGTTTGAGTGCCATACTAAAACACTTCAGCGACCTTCGTGTCAGCTGTGGTACCCTTGCCTTTTTCCGTGTTCTTGCCGTGTCAGGCCCACGCCATTTCTAATTCAATCAGACTTAACTGATTGAAGACGTCAACATAATACTATATACAGCGAGAACAACGCGTTGCGGTACATTTCGTTACAAGCTGCCAGGTACACCGGCTTCCCACCCCACTGGTAGCTTCGCTGGACGCAGTCCACGTGGTGCGCTGTCCATGCACCTCAGTCTCTTTAACGGAGGGTACTGCTCCAGCACTTGTGTACAGGGGCACCCACCAAAACACCCACCCACCCACCCACGCACGACGCAAGCACGCATGCACGCACGCTCGCACTTGTACAGACATTAGCACGTGCTTGCACGCGAGAGCGCATGCAAAGCACAAACGCTACCAATGTGTCATAGCTTCACTCGTAGCAGATAGCTCGCTATCTAGAGTCTTTCGCACTTCTGTCGGTACGCACGCCACCCTCGCTGCGCAAATGTCATTCACATGAGCTCTGACTGCTTTCATGTCGCTTCCCGGTAGCTGCGTAATACTGGCTGTTGAGGTCCTGACAACCCACTTGACAATGGCACCAACGTTGCCAAGTATCCCAGCTTCACACGAACCTGACATTTTTCGATGCATTTCTTACCAAGAACGCTGCACTTCGGCTTTCTGCATCCAGCCTCGAGTCTCGTGTCGGCAAGAGCGAAACCCTGCGAGGATTCTTCGCTGTCGCAAGCTGCCAGGATACTCGGATTACCTCACTTCCATTTGGGCCTTCCATATCAGGAGGAACTGGTCCTTTGGCAGTGGTGAGCGTGGACCGCTAATCCATTCCTGTACCTCACCATGAGACAGGTCTTCTTGCTTGCTCGGTCTATCACTGTCGTGCGTACGTGGTTGCTTGAGGTCCACACGGCCGGGATCAGAAGTGCATAGCGAATCATCAAGATGACTGCACAGGTATATGCTGTGGCAGTCAGGAGCCAATTCCGCCTTATTTCCAGACCAAGGACATTTAAGAAGCCATGCTCACCAGGGTGGATAAAAGAAGGAAGCCGATTCCATGCTCAAGCAGTAATGCAGCAGCGGAGCATGCGCACTGATCCGTCGAATTGCTCCACAGCCACAATGCCTGCCAGCCAGATTTTGGCAGCACTGCGAGATTCCAAGCATGCCAATCCGAGCTGCCTAGACAAAGCAGAAGGATAAAGCAGGAATCCACGGTAAATGGCTGGATCATCACCAGATTCAACATGATGCCCATCTCCTTTGTTGTGCAGACTTTCCTGGAATCTTCATTCATATTGCGATTCAATAGACATGGGCAGACTCTCAGTTCATCGCAATGAAGATGCCACCGATCCAGAGGAACAAGGCCTTGGGTCGGAGATTCAGTTCAGCTTCAAGCTCTGGTTACTCGGGTTGCAGCATGTTGCAGCTATGCGGGAAATGCCCCAAACATCCACAAACTGTCCGAGACACCAAAGCAGAGTTGGAGTTCACGTACATGGACGGGATCTGTATCTTCATAGACAATGCCTGTGCTTGTATAGCCGCCAGCACACCGACAATCAGATGGGCCCAGGTTACCTCACAATGCAGCTTCAGAATACATTCTGTAGTACTGCATGAAACTTCTCTCATCTGGCGCCTCAAGAACGGTTTGCTCGGACCGCTGAAAGCCGAGAAAGCTGTCGTAGTTGTGGGACTCCATTACCTGCAGACTTCGCCATCTCAATATCCCGTAATATGCAGCCCATACGAAGGGTATGCTAAGCAACCGCTACGAGTGAAAGAATTCAGGAGCTCTCTTGCATGACATGCTGCTTGGCAGTAAAACAGCGCCAGAACAATCAAGTTGCTGAGCACGAGCACGCCTGGTCGCGTACACTCGCGCACGCTACTCAGTCAGTGGATGCTAACAACAGACAACTCAAAGCCACACTGTGACACCAAACAATGCTTGTGCATTGGACTGAGCGCTTCGCTGCGCCACACAGCACTGCTCGCTCGTAGTGCATCCCAACCTAGGCAGGTGAGAGCATACAAATTTCCAACTGTTGGGGTTTTGGGGGCCCAGACCTGCGCTGACATACGAAGACATGGCGCCGCTGGCCACCAAGCACAAAAGCCAAAGCCTCGTTGCAACTCCGCAGGGTGGGTATGGAGCGATCACCGTCTGCTTCAATTCTGAAGTCTGAAACAATCAAACAATCAAGTTTAGGAATTGGAACTGCAGCAGCACAACTCGAGCAAGACGACTGGGCTAGTCACGAGGGACGAGGCAGCGAACATGTGTCACCACATTACATGCATGCAGGCAGCAGGTAGGCCACGCCAAGTAAGTTTGCTGGCTCTTGTCCTAGGGTCACCTTGGCGAAATCACGATAGGCGACATCACCAACACGTGTGTCTCAAAACCTTAGCTTGCCACTATGGCGACAAACGCCGCAGTGATGGGCCGGAGAAGTGCGACTCCCTGCACTGATGGCTTTCAAGCTACGTCATACCCATCGGCTTCGCACGGGGCCACCTTGCGCACCCACGTCGACACAAAGCGTCCTGGCACAGCAGTATCCCTCTCAGGCTCCGCTTGTCTACCATGGCTCCAGACTGCAGACAGCTTGGGCGCCTGTAAATGCAGGTGCTCGCTGGTCGGCCGGGCCTGCCGGGCTGGCCGGGCCCTCAGCCTTGCGAACTTGCGGCTTCCCTTGAGAATCGCTCCATGCTACATGAAATCCCGCCTTAGTGCCTTCAGACCTGCGGGAGTCTGCTTGACTCCCTGCGCCAAGCGCCTCCCCGGCTGCTCTCCGTGGGCCGTGGGCTGTAACATCACCGGTCTCTTGGACAAGCTGTACTGGGGCGGCTGACATCAGCAGGGCAGCACGATAGCCCTATAAAGGATCACAACTTCCGCTAGCAAATGCTGGTCGAAATCGTTGTTCTTTGGGCTGTCCCGCACATCACCGGGATTGGAATACCTCTCCACCATGAGAAGGCTGTCCCTCCATCGAGAAGATCGAGAAGCATGAGGATTGGGGTTGTTGGTAGAGGCCGCTTGTTGTGGTCGTGGAGTTCAGTGAAAAACCCTCGAACAAAAACAACGTCGTAACTGTTTGAAGAACACTCTCTGATGATGCAGGCCCAACCCCTCCAGAGCAATAACAAGAGTTACAGTTCGAGGAAAACAATGCGGCGAGTCTTACTTGAACGCCCTCGTTAGCATCAGGAGCCACCTTACCTAGCCTTACTTCGGATTGATGGATGTCTGGCCAGCTGGAGCAGACACCGCTCTTGTGCCGAGGTTCAACTGCTTCCAAAGTCTCTAAAATCTAAAACTTTCTAAGAGCCTCAGACTCTGCTGTTTGGGCCCTAACAAGGCAAAATAAGCAGGGGCTGCAGAAAAGCTGTTGCTACCTCTGCTCCTGGTCATGGCTGGAAGCTTATCCGAAGCTGCAACCATAATTGCCTGCAAAGCCCTGCTCCTCACGAAGGCTGCTCCGAACAGCAGGGCCACGCCCTGGCAAACTCCAAGGGTCGTCCAGGCATATCAACGGCTACGGCTAATTGCTCACAGGTACGGCCAGTACGTGCACCTGCCCCAAAGCGAAGAAGTAGCGTCGCAGCGACGGCCGAAATGGCCCTCGGGCGAGAGGCTTAATGTACTGTGCCTGCCCGCCAATAGCCCCCTGTATACCCGTCTTGAACATTGCAAGCTTTCATGTGCGATGTGCTGCCAGGCCTTCGCGCAAGTAACACTGAAGTCCAGCTCGCTCCATCCAAGTGAAGGAGTTCGGTACGTTGGAAAGTGGAAGGTCTTCGACATGGCAGAAGATGTTGTAACCTCACAAGGAATTGATCGAAAGTTCTGAAAGCTTGCTCCGCACAGCACAGGATCCAGGAGCCGTGCAATACCAGACAAGGCTACAGAGCAACTCATAGAGGAACATGCACTGGAAAACTCCAAGCCTCAGCTTCGGAGTACAGACGAGGCTGACCAAAGCTGGAGGCTGAAAGGAGTGAGCTGAGAACGGAAAATATTGCATGGGAACATGAAGCACGACCATTGCTCCCAACCTGATCCGTGAACAGTCGGATGTCTGCTGCTCAGGAAGTGTACAGTAGGACCAGGCTCAGCTCAGAACACAAGCGGCAGGGTTGCAAGCGAAGGCCACACCGATGGCAATGCCAGCCTTATTTACGAGCATTCGCACACGAAAGAAGCTCCTTGCCTCCGTGCACTGATCCTTCACATGCATTGGACATGTCCAACGTAGAAGTATACAATATGCTTCTCCGCTCTTGTCCTTCATTCCAGCCGGGTGGCAGGGACACCAGCAGAACGAAAGTGCTCCCACTTGCCACACTAGCCTGGCGGCGTGGGTGTGCAAGAGATCTGCAGCTTTCTTGGGCAGGTGGGAAGCACCGTGCCAACGTGACACAGCAATCCATCCAACGAGTCTTCTCAGAGACTCGAACGGTGTTCCGTGCACCCTGATGCTAAGAAGTGGGTCCATATTCTTGCATTGGTCTCGCGGACTAAAGTGCTGCGGGTTTCAAGCACAGGCTCTCTGGGACAGTCGGGTTATACTGCCGCAAGTGGCCAGGTCCTGGAAAGGCTTGAAACATATGACATATGCGTAATAGCTTGACGCGCGAGTTGAAAGAGAGGACAGACATTGCCATTCCCGTCATTGTTCTATTGTTCTTCAACGGCAGAAACTCAAGCCTGATTGATCCGAGATAACTCGAGACAACAAGCACGAGGCAGGCAGCGAGCACAAGCGTCAGCAGACACTCTGCCAGGCCTTGTTCAGAAGTAAGGCCGACCAATTTATGGAGTCCTCCTCATGAGGTGCCATGAAGTGCAACTATCTGCTGCGACTGCTCAGGTAAGGTCGGTGCTTCTTTGCTGGTTAACCCTGCTGATCAGACCGGCCACTTGCCGCAAAATCCCACGCCTCCATTGATTAATGAACCCACCACATTAAGCCGACCACCCTCCCTTGCAAACTTCCCGGACCCTGCTGCTACTGCTTCTGCTGATTACTGCTGCTGCTCCTGCTCCTGCAACAAACAACAAACACCATCCAGCAACCAGCAACCAAAAACCAGCAGCCAATAAACGACAACAACAAGCAATAAACAACAACCACTACAACAACAACTACTACTACAGCTGCTGCTACTGCTACTACTACGACTACTACTACTACCACTACTGCTACTACTGCTACTAAGGAAGCAAAAATGCTACGACAAGTACAGCTACAGCAACAACGACTGCTGCTGCTGCTGCTGCTGCCGCTGCCGCTGCCGCTGCCGCCACTACTACTACTACTACTACTACTACTACCACCACCACCACCACCACCACCACGACGACGACGACTACTACTGCTACTGCTACTGCTACTGCTACTGCTACTGCTACTGCTACTGCTACTGCTACTGCTACTGCTACTGCTACTGCTACTGCTACTACTACTCACGATGACGACGACTGCGACGACGGCT